TTTTTCAAGTTATAACGGTTGCCCCCATAGTAGAGTTAACATTGATATGTATCTAATTTCATAACAAACAAAAATACCGTCAAAATAAAAACTTCCTGTCTTTTTTTAAATCGGCTAAAATACCTATAGTGTTATACGAGATGGAAGTTAGCGTAGAACATTCTTCTTTTTAACTAAACTGTATGCCAATTAATTGCTCCATAAATGCTCCAGCAGAATCCGAAATTGCTCCACCTCTATTGTTATTAGTTAATTTATAATTAATTTTAAAAAATTAATTATGAAAATTTTATTTTGCTATAAAACAGAAGACATCTGCTTTTTTAAATTAAACTGTATGCCAATTAATTGCTCCATAAATGCTCCAGCAGAATTCGAAATTGCTCAACCTCTATTGTTATTAGTTAATTTATAATTAATTAAAAAAAAATTAAGTATCGAAAATTTAATTTTACTATAAAAAATAAAATATCTGCTTTTTAAAATTAAACTTTATGCCAATTAATTGCTCCATAAATGCTCCAGCAGAATCCGAAATTGCTCCACCTCTATTGTTATTAGTTAATTTAAAATTAATTTTTAAAAAGTTTAAGAAACGAAAATTTAATTTTGCCATAAAATATAAAATATATACTTTTTAAAATTAATCCGTATGCCAATTAATTGCCCCTTAAATGTACCAGCAGAATCCGAAATTGCTCCACCTCTGTTATTATTAGTTAATTTTTAATTAATTAAAAAAAAATTAAGTATCGAAAATTTAATTTTGCTATATAACATAAAATATCAATATTTAAAAATTAAACTGTACGCCCATTGATTGCCCCTTGAATGCTCCAGCAGAATCTGAAATTGCTTTAGCTCTATTGCTATTAATTAATTTATAAATAATTTTTAAAACATTTAAGTATCGAAAATTTGATTTTGCTATAAAACATAAAATACTTACTTTTTAAAATTAAACTCTGTGCCAATTAATTGGTCCTTAATTGCTCCAGCAGAATCCGAAATTGCTCCACCTCTATTGATATTATTTAATTTATAACTAATTTTAAAAGAAAATAATTGTCGATAATTTAATTTTGCTATAAAACATAAAATATGTACTTTATAAAATTAAACTCTATATTACAATTAATTGCTCCTTAAATGCTCCAGTAGAATCCGTAATTTTTTTGTCTATTGCTATTAGTTAATTTATAATTAATTTTCAGATAGAGTGATTCTATTTGCGCCATCATCAATAGAATATAGTAACATTCTATAGTTAAAGTCATTTTATCGAACAAAAATTGATTGACTTTCAAGGTGGTACGTAGAAAAGACTAGATGGCACAAACACAAAAATATTATTAACATAGTTGTCTAATCCATTCATAAGAATCCATAATTTCAAAACTCACCCATCAATACTTTTTTTTGGTTTAATGCCATTAGGCATCTATTCTACGTACCACATTGAGAGTCAATCAATTTTTGTTCGATAAAATTACTCAAATAGGATCACTCTATCTCAAAATGAATTATAAATTAACTAATTGCAGAAGACAGAAAAATTACGCATTTTACTGGAGCATTTAAGAAGCAAATAATTGGCATATAGTTTAATTTTAAAAACTATATATTTTCTGTTTTATAGCACAATTAAATTTTCGATACTTAAATTTTTAAAAAAATATTTATAAATTAACTAATAGCAATAGAGGTGGAGCAAATTCGGATTCTGCTGGAGCATTAAAGGATCAAATTATTGGCATACAGTTTAATTTTAAAACGTAGATATTTTATGTTTTATAGCAAAATTGAATTGTCGATACTTAAATTTTTTAAAAACTAATTATAAATTAACTAATAGCAATAGAAGTGGAGCAATTTCGGATTCTGCTGGAACATTTAAGGCGAAATTAATTGGTATATATTTTAATTTTAAAAATTAGATATTTTATGTTATATAGCAAAATAAAATTTTCGTAACTTACATTTTTTAAATTAATTATAAATTAACTAATAGCAATAGAGGTATAGCAATTACGTATTCAACTGGAGCATTTAGGGAGCAAATAATTGGCGTACAGTTTAATTTTAATAAGTAGATATTTTCTGTTTTATAGCAAAATTAAATTTTCGATACTTATTTTTTCTTAAATATTAATTATAAATTAGCTAATAACAATAGAGGTGGAGCAATTTCGGATTCTGCTGGGGCATTTAAGGAGCAATTAATTCGCATACAATTTAATTTAAAAAAAATAATGTTCTACGCTAACTTCCTTCTGGTTAATATTTTTAAAATTAATTATAAATTAACTAATAGCAATAGAGGTATAGCAATTTCGGATTCAGCTGGAGCATTTAAAGAGCAAATAATTGGCTTACAGTTTAATTTTAAAAACTATATATTTTCTGTTTTATAGCAAAATTAAATTTTCGATACTTAAATTACTTTTTAAATATTTATAAATTAACTAATTACAATAGAGATGGAGCAATTTCGGATTCTGCTGGAGCATTTAAGGAGCAATTAATTGGCATACAGTTTAACTTAAAAAAGTAGATATTTTATACTTTATAGCAAAATAAAATTTTTGGTACTTAATTTTTTTTTAATTAATTATAAATTAACTAATAACAATAGAGGTGGAGCAATTTCGGATTCTGCTGGAGCATTTATGGAGCAATTAATTGGCATACAGTTTAACTTAAAAAAGTAGATATTTTATACTTTATAGCAAAATTAAATTTTTTATACTTAATTTTTTATATTAATTATAAATTAACTAATAACAATAGAGGTGGAGCAATTTCGGATTCTGCTGGAGCATTTATGGAGCAATTAATTGGCATATAGTTTAGTTAAAAAAAAAACAATGTTCTACGCTAACTTCCATCTGGTTAGTGTTAGCATCAAAATTTGTTACACGCTTTCGACGAATTACTATAGTTTATAAATTTTTTTCAGGTATCGGGTGTTGTGGGACGAGCGGACGTGCTCGCTTGCGTCCTATTTCTTTCATCTCTCCTTCTATATCACGGGTAAGTTGACTAATATAAATCAGTAAGACGTTTAAGCTAAATGTCATAAAATTAATTTGGATTTGTTTTCAGTCGAATGTCAGTTTTTGTGGAAAACTGCGATAAAATAAGTACATATTATGTATTATATATTTGTTTCGTTTTCTGTGTTCACAATATTGGTCCTACTGTAACTGCGAGATTGCCTTTATTTATTACCCGATTGCCTCAGAAACAGGGGTAATTTTTTTCGAGAGTATGTATGTATGTATGTCTATTTCTTGGACACGCTCTGTAGCCTAAACGGATTGATGGATATTAACATATTGGGTGTCGTTAGATTTGTCTTAGTTATAGAAGTAACAAAGGGTATAATTTTATTTTTAGCTTTAAGTTGTATATTGTAATATGTGCTTATAACAATAAGTACATTTAAAATGATACATATTTTATTAGATAGTTAAGCAATATGAAACTTGAAAGTACTGAAATAGCAGTAACTTTTGCGGAATCGATTTCCTTGTATGTTTAATCTTGCCTCTTAAAATTGTTAGAGGGGATCATTTGGACACTTGGCAATAGTTTGTTAATGTTCTTACTAAGTTGTTTGACATTGTTTGGAGTTAAAAACTAGGTGCGTTTTTTTGAAGGGTCGAAATGTTTCCGAAATTCTTTAATATATTTATACCAATATATCAATAATAAAAATGATTTTTGCTTTTTAATGTGATTAATATTTATTTTTTATATTTAATATTTTCTACGTGGTAGAGCCATGCTGCAGCTATATTAGTAGTATAGTTGTAGCACTAATGGGTCGGCTTGACCGGGGAAGGACCACGCTCTCACAGAATACCAGCGTCAAATAGCAGCTTCATGCTGCTGTGTTTCGTATGGTGAATTTAGAGAACCGGAGACCCTTTTTACTGGAAAAGAGGCATTCTATCTTAGTCCTCACGGGTGACAACGCATCTGCATTTTGATTCGCAAACGAGGATAAATGTAGATGTCTATGGGCCACAGCAACCACTTACCATCAGGTAGACTGTGTGCTCGTTTGTCACCCTATTCTATATAAAAAAGATTTTTTTGAATTTATTGGCTTTCAAAATTTATTTTTACTTCTTTCGCATCCATCTATTTACGCATACATGCTCATCGGTTAAGGGTACTCTTAACTTGGACCATATTTAATATAATATAGTATCACCAATTTGGTCTAGCGTTATGCCGACTGCGCCACTCACTTCTGCGGCATAAGTTTTCTTTGTCACTCTTTCCTCATTCATTCTATCAATGTTTATATACCTAGCATCGTAGCATTCTTTTTTTAACTGACTTCAAAAAAAAGGAGCTTGTTCTCAATTCAGGTGTATTTTTTTGTATGTTACCTCAGAACTTTTTTAGGTGAACCAATTTTGATGATTTATTCTTTATTTGAAAGCTGGTGCTTCTAATGTAGTCTCATATAAATTTGATCAAGATCTGGCCAGTAGTTTTTCAGTAATACTTAATAATGGGTATTAAATTGAATTAGACTTAATTTAACTGAAGACGTTTGTATAAAATTTTCATACACTTGTCAAACTCCTGGTCACAACATCTTCTTGCAAAATTCACTTAATTCTTATTACACAATTTCTCTCCCTATCATTCAGAGTCTTCTTAATAACGCTTCTTAACGCTTCTTAATAACCGCTTTTCTACAGCATTAATTATGCTCTCATGTTTCTGCTGCAGCACTAAACTTTCACTACCATACCTAAGGGTTGGAGCTAACACGGCATTGAATATGCCTTGAATGTTGTACTTTTTTGGCAAAATCTGACTTTCCTCAATAGATTAAAGAAATATAAAGTAGGAAGAAAAGTAATAGCAATCAACAGCACACATAACGCTTTAAGCATTGAAATCATGATAATGTACTTGATTATAGGACATCAGGTAAACTACGAGTGTGGGCGAGTGTGTTACTGGCAGCGCTTAGCATGTTAGCCAAGGAAACTGGACTGACTGCACTGCTTTTTAATGTCGTCTTCGATTTGTACCGCTACTGGGGATCTATAAGACGGTAATTATTTTAAGATAAGTTTATATGTGGTAGGGCCACGCTGCAGCTATATTGTGGTTATAGCACGAATGGGTCGGCTCGACCGGGGTAGGAACTCTAGTACTAATACCATCATAAAATAGCAGCTTATTGCTTCTGTACTTCGTTTACTGGCAACCAGGCATTTTATCTTAGTCATAAAAGGATCTGCATTTTGACTCTTGAACTATAAATCATTCTCAAGGATAAATGTAGAGTCTATGGGCTAAAGCATCCACTTACCATCAGGTGGACCGTGTTCCTTTGTCACCTTTTTTCTTTTAAAAAGCTATATTCTTTCTTTTTTCTCTATTTGTGTCTAAATGCCCAATGCAGGATTTTGTCCTTCCATTGTTTGAATAATTTGCCAAAATCACCGCACCTGCAAACAGTTTAGTAGTACCAGTGGAGCTAGTCATGTTGAAATTCTAAAATCGTTAACGCTAATGGAAAATTATAATTAAATCAACTTTAAGTCACGTGCCAGTTATTTTATTTAACATTGAAAAAAAATTAAGAATTTAAAAATTTATTGACTAAGTTACGAGAACCACACAATTAACTATAATAAAGAGCACCTCCCGCCATCGCTCAATCGCGGTTACTATCCCCATACATCGATAAGAACCCTGTTTATTTGTGTGTGATGATGACCGTGTTGGGATATTGTTGCTGGGATTAGTGGTGACGGAGATAGTGCAGTGGAAAAAACCAGGAGTGTTTCCCTCTATCTTCTCTTATGACTCCATCGGGACGATATGGGGCAGTGGATATTCTTACACCGCCATTACATGGTAAAGTACGGTACCTAAACGTTAAATAATATGTCGGAATTAATCTGTTGCACAGATCATCGCCTACAAGATGTCGGTGGAAAGAAGATAGCATATATAGCCGCGTTGCTCGCAGCGTTGGCGCGTTGGCATTATTGGCAATATTCAGAATAGCAATGCTGCAAGGATCACTTCCAACATTTTCGCCACAAGACAACCCACCGGCATTTCATCCGTCATATATCGTTAGGTATATGATTAAATTAAATGGTTTATAATGTGTAAAAAAATATTTAATAACGGACATGATGGGTTTTGGCGGGAACTTGTTGACCAGCGGATTATCGCTCCTGTCTTATTTTGTAAATAATTGTTAATGCAGATTTAATCACATAAAAGTGGTGCGAGTTTGTGTATTAATAATATCTGCGCATGTGAACTATTAGTGGAAACGGTGAAACATGTGCTCTTACGATCTGTGAACCTTAAGTTATTCTGTCTATTACGACGCCTAGAGATAGGTGTTATCGTCATCGACTCTCTGCTGGTTGAAGCTGTCGTCCAAATCTCCCAAAAATGTCGAGATGTGCGTCACATCAACGTACTGTGAAGAAGATTTAAACAAATTATTTTTATTAATTGACACTTTTATAAGTACAACTGTGGCATATCCGTATGAGTCCATTAGCAAATAAAAAGAAAACTCACGTGAATATTTGGAATTCCTGCTTTATTTATACTATTGTCATTAATTACAGCCATTCAAAAGTCTACTACTGAATATAAATCCTCTCCTAAATTGCCTCATAGGGGGGGATTTAGCAAAAGTTTCCACTCTTGGCAGTTGGGTTGTCAACAGCAGTGTTTTATTATTTTACGTTGTTATAAAGAAGATGTTACTGCCCATCTCCTGTTTAAGTTTCCCTTTGTCGCCTCTCATAACAACTTATTTGCTCCGATTTACTTTCAAGATGCCGGCATAATGGTTAAAGGTACAGAAAAGAAACTTTGAGAGTGTGGATTCGAATCTGTCATTCGACTACTGTCGTGAACTACGAATACCAAAACAAGTATTTTAAGCTTGTAAGCATAAGACTGAAGTGGTTAATTGAAACACTAGTACAACTTATACCTAGACAACTCAGACCGCGGTGATGTACAAATTCCACAAACCAATATCATACCGTGGGTGTTGAAGGAGACGGGAGAGGGAAAAAACAGGAGATGGGCAGCAGCGTCTTCGTAATAACAATTAAAATGTAAGAATTCTCGGTTACCAAACTGCTCGCTTGCCAGGCGCTAAAACTATGGCAAATACACCCAATGGGATGCAATCTATGGGGAAGGCCTTTATACACCGGTGAATTTTTGATGTTTGCTGTAACGGTAACAGCACTTCTTATATTCTTCTTTAAATTCATAGTGAGTGTAGAGAACCGGAGACCCTTTTTACTGGAAAAGAGGCATTCCATCTTAGTTCTCACGGATGTCAACGCATCTGAATTTTGATTCTTTATTGCTGATAGATGTAGGTAGATGTCTATGGGTCGCAGCAATCACTTACCATCAGGTGGACTGTGTGCTCGTTTGTCACCAATCCTATAAAAAAATCTATCATTCAAGATAATTTTTAAATACGTTGTTTCTCTAAAATATCATTGTTTTGCAGGTTAATGACGTTTAGTTATCTGGCAGCGTTCAATTGTTGGCTGCTGATATGCCCTTGGACACTGAGCCACGACTGGCAGATGGGATCCATTTCACTTGTGACCAGTGGATGGGATCCGAGAAACCTGATTACTGCAACAGTTTTAATCGCTCTATTAGTGATATCATATTGCTGTTTAATGGACTTGGCGGTACAAAATTTTCTTATCTTTTACGTGGTAGAGCCATGCTGCAGCTATATTAGTAGTATAGTTGTAGCACGAATGGGTCGGCTCGACCGGAGAAGGACCACGCTCTCACATAATACCAGCGTAAAATAACAGCTTAACACTGCTGTGTTTCGTATGGCAAGTGTAAAGAACCGGATACTCTTTTTACTGTAAAATAGGCATTCCATCTTAGTCCTCACGGGTGACAACGCATCTGCTTTTTCATTCTTTATTGAGTATAGTTTTTTTTTATAGGATAGGGTGACAAACGAGCACACAGTCCACCTGATGGTAAGTGGTTACTATGCCCGTAGACATCTACATCTATCCTCAATAAAGACTCAAGATGCAGATGCGTTGTCACCCGTGAGGACTAAGATGGAATGCCTCTTTGCCAGTAAAAGGGGTCTCCGTTTCAGTAGAAGGGAATAGTAGTAGTTATCTATGGGTCACAGTAACGACTTACCATCAGGTGGACAGTGTGCTCGATTATCACCCGATCCTATAAGAAAAAATCTTGAAAAAAGGTACTATCCGCACGAGGAATTTATTCTGTATAGTGTATGCATTTTCGTACATAAATTGTATATGAATAAACAGACCTAGCAAAAATATTTGTAGGTTATGAAAATAGTGCAACCCTCAGGGAAACGCAGATTCAATTATTTTGTCATTGTGGTTCCATTTTATCACTATCTAAGTTTTACTATTTGCATTCTAATACTTGGTGAAACTTTGCCTTATCTATGAAACAAAATAGGTGGAGTGAAGACCTAGTAAGAGATGCAGATAGTCGATGGATGCAGGTGGTTCAGGGCCCGTGTTTTGTGGTATTCCTCGGAGGAGACCTATGTTCAGCAGTGGTCTTGTGATCCTGGAATAATGATAATGGTGATGAAACAATATGGTTTCTTAAAGCAATTACAATATTATTTTTTAATAACTTTTTTTATTGCGCAAATTTTTTAACAAGTTAGTAAAAATACACAGTTATATATTTATTGTTCAACGCAGTAGAACAACGCTGCATCGTATTATAGCAGTAGCAATAATAGTACGGCTCCAAAGAAAGGCCACGTCCGCAAATAATACCATAGGAAAGTAGCAGCATAATGTTGATATGTTTGGTTAATCACTATGATTGAGGATTGAAACTCACTAATAACGAGGCATTCCAGGCTTAACCAGGGAATGACCACACAGAATACCAACGTGAACAACATAATGTTGATGTGATGTGTAGAGATCCAGAAATCTTTTAACTAGTAACGATGCATTCTATGTTGGTTCTTAGTATCGACGACGCATCTACATTTTGATTTTTGATTTTTAATCAAAGATAGATGTAAGTGTCTATGGGCTACAGCATCCACTTACCATTCGATGGACTGGTAGATTTCATCGTAACACTTACTTCTGTATAAAAAATCATCATTGCATCTCTTCTGTAATCTCCGAGAGGATTTTTCGGAGTTCAAAGAGAGACGAGATACTTAGACCACTGCACTGTATACAAAATTGTTAAAGAAGTGATAGCTATCTAGCCCATCACCTACACAATCCCAAACCCAATATCTCATCACTCACGTTTTACGACTTGCTAAGCAAGTAAAACACTTGGTACAGTCTTTTTTACTATGATGACCACATAAACATGGGATATTTAAATCTCAGACCAAGTGGGACATATAATAATATTAACAATGTTTATTTCAGATGAAGAGCCAAACCCATTTGTTAGTAATTTACTTATACTATGTTTGTATAAAAATTTAAAAAAATAAAAAATAAAATGAGGAATATAAAATAGTTTATATATTAATATGCAAAAAGTCGATGGATGCAGATAGTTCAGGACCGTGTTTTGTGGCATTCCTTGGAGAAGGTCTTCTATAAAAATAAGGATAAATATAATATAATTTATATATTAATTGTATGTGCTAGGGAGATAGCAATCAGTTAAGAAAATATGTATGAAAATAAATATACCTATTAAATCTACAAACATAAGACTTTGTTTTATTATATATGGCCCTCTTTTTTCAAATATTTTAGGTACAACGTCACACGCCCGCTGTCGTTGGATTGATGTTACTTGTGTTCCCATACCTACCCGCTTCCAATTTATTTGTGACAGTTGGCTTCGTTGTCGCCGAGAGAGTTTTGTACATACCCAGGTATACAAAATTTTTATCGATTGCTTTAAGAATAATTAAATTATGCCAAATTCATTTTTAAATTAAATAGAAAGATTTTTATCCTTGTTTTTATTTTGATTATTGAATATGAAAGTACAACACATGCACTTATTATATTTTGTCATATATATGTCAAGTTTTGTGTTCAATAAAGAAGAAAGAATAAAAGGTGAATAAAAAGAATACATAATATATTTTAATCACACAGCGTTAATTACAAAAATGTAAATAATATTAGGAATTTACTGAATTACGTTTATTTATTTATTATTTGTCTAATAATCCAATAATTTTGAGTATTTAAGCGTAATATTACGACCGACGACTTTATATTTTTAAAGTCTACTCTTAAGCATCAGGCTACTATCGCTTGCTTAAACAATTATGAAAAATTAATTGCTACCATTTATAAAATATTGAAAGTCCGCAAACACGCACTGGAGCGGTGTAGTTTTAAAAAAAATGAGTTACCCACACTCGGTATTTTCCCCCGTATCATGGAGGCAGTTTACATACATAAATAACACAAGGACAAACATCCAGACCAGTAAAAAAAAATATTAGGCGATACAAATGCTAGTTCCGTGTGGGATTCGATCCCGCGGCCTTGAGCAACGCAATCAGTGTTAATCTACTGCGCCGCGGTGGAGTCAAACTAATGATTGCTCCATAACCCTCACACAAACGAGAGGTACAAAAAGAGGAGAGAACGGCTGTAGCTTTTGTAATTTTTTTTTATCGCTAGCATTATCAACTAAGATTCGATATATATTTACAAAGTTGTTTTACAGCGTTGGATTGGTGTTGATAACAGTATATGGCATTCAACTGATGTGGCGGAGAACTGTACGTGGAAAGCGGTTGATAGTGATAGGGGTTGCTATTCTTGTCGCCAGTGGAGCTGCTCGGACACAGCTCCGGAACTGTGATTGGAGAAATAAAGAGACTCTTATTAGGTATATGCTAATAAAGTTTAAGTAAGAACGTTTATTTCTATATATAGTCTTAAATGTTTCTACGAGTATATGTAGTGTTCACCTACAGTGATACCAATTTGATAGTGACAGCCGGGATCGTTGTTGCTGAAATAGTGTTGTATACCCAGGTTTATCATTTTATTTCTAACTAACTATTAATTAAAATAAATAAGATAATAATGTAGAAATGTAGTAATAACAAATATAACTTAAAGTTATCATGACGTAATTTTTTTTGTAATATAATATTCGTGAGGAGCAGGTGTCCAGTGGTGTGTGACATGTATGTAGTATATATGCCTTGTTTATTACTTTCATGTGAAGTAATTGTATTATTATTAAAATTTTAACTAATTTACTTTATCAATAAAACATGAAAAAAAATTATTTAGGTGCACTGCGAAATAATCAGTTTATATAATTGAAAAAAGAAACACGATATCAACGTAATAAATTAATACATTGTCCATTTTCTTCTATAGAATATGATTTGGTTTGAAGTCTGGTTTAAAATTACTATCATGATATGTAAATAGGTACTTACACAATTATGTATTCTTGCAAATAAATAAATTATTAGAATTAGAAATAAAAACACAACTAAATCTGTACACTAATCGATTACATCCTTTTTCATTTTATAAAAATACATAAACTATATGTATTTACTATACTATAAAAAATTAAATAATTTTATCTTTATCTCAATGGTAAATTTAAATGTTTATTTAAAAGTTTATGCTATATAAATAAATTCGAGTGTAGACCCATCTGACACAAAATACCAGCGTAAAATAGCAGCACATCTGTTTCGTATGGTACGTGAAAGAAGAAAAGAAAAATATTTTTTTTTACTGGTGACGAGTTATTTCATAGTGTAAAGTCATCGGGAGTAGGAATACATCTGCATTATGATTTACAGCATGCACTATCAATGAAGTGGATATGATTGTATGTCACTAAACTTCTATGAAATTTAAAATAACTTTTATTTTGATTTAAACGGTACAAGATTGGCTTCTATAGTTTCTCTTTTTTTACTCGCTGAGAAGGTGGTGTGGATCTTCTAACATCTTAATCAAGGCGTAAGCAACACTTTTAATTACTTTTGAATAAACTAATTTCAGAGCTGACTTGGCTGTTCTTCCGCATAATGCTAAACTACATTATAACTTTGCCAACTTTTTGAAAGATATTGAGCAACAAGAAAGTGCCATCAAACACTACAAAGAAGCTTTAAAGTAAGTTTCTCTTGAAATTTCATAAATCTTTGTTTAGTACATCTGTGAAATTCATTTATCTGTGAAGTATTTTAATGTAGCTTACAGAAAGGAGTTTTGGCGGGAAATTGACCGGCGGCGGTTTGCAGCTCCTGTATTATTGTTTAAATAATGGTTTGAAGTGGACTTTGATATGTAAAAGTGTTGCGATTTTGTGTATTAAGTGTCTACGCATGTGAACTATTAGTGGAAACAGTGAAACAAGTGCTCTGATGGTGATGGATTCTCAAGATAAGCTGTTTGTTTGCATAGGCACCTTTAGATACCATCGCCAACTGTCAGCTGTCTGCTGGATCAAGTTGCCGCCAAAATCTCCCAAGAACTGCACAATGTGACGCATCAACATATTGTGAAGCAGTATACTATGAAGGAGTGGGGAAATTACAATAAACCGAATAAAAATACTTAAGACTTGGCCTAAAGGTCTAGATACCAGGCCATACTTAACAAAAAAAAATAGCTTACAGAAAAAGTTTAAGATTGCGACTTTTTATTTAATTTTAAAATGAGAATTAAAGGTTTTCATTTATAATTAAAAGTAATACAAAAACAACGCTGGAATTGGTAACTGATATATATTACTTTGTTTGAAACTGCATTCATAAAAAACACAAACTCCGGAATACTAAGCATTTTATGTTTTTATTTTCAAAAGTAACCTTTGTTTCTCATTTTAAAAAGAATTTAAAATAAATTATTGATCAACGAAATGGATGTTAATTAAAGAATTTTTTGTCTACTTAGATTATGGCCAAGTTACGCCAGCGCTCACAGCAATCTTGGAAACGTTAGTCGTAGAATCAGGCCGCGCTGAGCATCACTTCTTACAAGCGCTTAAGTATAATCGAGATCATGTTAATGCACATTACAACCTCGCGAAACTTTACAGGTACGTGGCAGGTGCACTTCATTCACAAAAATTGAAGTTCCGTTTGAGAAATTTTTGTGACATGATAATGGAACTAAGGTTACTTAGTTTAAGTCAGCTGTTCATAATATGTATGTAATTAGGTTATTGTTTTGAACTTGAATTTAAAGGGGACTCAATATTTATGCCAAAAATAATAATTTTTGAATTTTTATGATAGTGTTTTTTTTATGTCAGGCGTGATATAAGAATATGTACTATTTTTATTTAAAATACTACAATTAAAACAAATTTGTAATAAAGAATAAAATATTACCTACTTGTCAAAATTTTTTGCTGAATGACTAGGATGGTTTTTTGGTTGAAAAAATCATACAACATTTTTTACCTTAACACATCGGTTAATTTTTATTAATATTTATTTATATTTTATATAGAAAAAAGAACAAAATAAATGAGTCAATAAAGATGCTAGAGAGATGTATATCACTTGAGCCAAGATTCGTACATGCGTACTTAGAACTGTTGTTGGTAGCACCGCAAGAAGACAAAAGAGATATATTAGACAAGTTATTAGAGCTTGAACCGAAGAACTGGGAACATTATCAAATCTACGGTAACTGGTTTAAAGAAAGAGGTAAGAATAAATAATACAATACCTGTTGTAGTCATTTTTTGTTTACCACTGTTTTGTCCTGGGAAGAACCAGGAAGAAACCCAACGGGGGTTTTTTTAGACTTACATAATTTTACAATAATTTGGCACAATTATTTAAATGAATTGTAGTAGCACCAACATGGTATCGATCACCTTATTCCCAAGGGATATTTTTGTTCATGTATGTCTTATTATTATTTAATGTAATGTTGCGTATTCAGAAGTTTTTTTTTAAATAGACGATTTATCTTACTTTAGTCTATTCCAATTTTAAATTGTCTTACCATTCAATATCATTTGCTGACATTGAAATACAATTTATGAAATTTCCTAGAAATCTTCATTAATATTTGGTGTTAGAATTATTTAAAATAAAAATGAATGATGGTGCAGAACGTGTAGTGGCACCCGACCCTACCGAGTCATCCGGGAGCGCTACGCATACGAAATTACGAAAGTATAGCCGTTTTTGCTCGTCCATTAGCTCTACGCGTAAGCGATACGGACAGGATATTATATGATATCGCTTACCTGTTTTAGCTCTATCTATGTTCCAAAGCTCTCTATCCCTTTTATCACAATGGTAGAGTGTCCTCAGTAGACTAAACTAGTAATAAAATACACAAGGCTACTAACTGTCGATGAAAAACTAATAGTATTTTTGGTCTGATTAAGAGTATATTATAAGTTCACGCGTGTATTTAAAGTTTAAAATAAAGTATTTAAAAGTGAATTAATAGATGAATACGTAATTTGAACATTATTCATGAATATAATTCTTAGGAATACGTGCACATTTTTACCTATAAATTGAGGTTTAAAGTTGACGAAACGTAAAAATGGCGCCGATACCCGAAGTTTTATTGTCTCAGTGCATTGTTACATTATCATTGAGTCGTGTGGCTAATATTATAAACTTTCGTTTTAAGTATGATTCGTGACTAACAACAAAGAAAGTGTTATAAATAAAACCCTATATGTACTGCGCGGAGAGATTTTTTTTTAAATTTAACGGTAATTTGAATTTTAATGATTATTGTATTTTGTAATTTATTACTAAAACAGTAAAAAATACAAATATTATGTAATTGAAGCAATTTAATATATAGTGTCTTCTGTTGTTATTTTTACATTTTAAATGTAATAGATAGTTTTCTATTACATTCTTTAACATGTATGGTTGTGAAGATTTAAGCTGGCTTTATAAGTGGTAAAGCCACGCTGCAGGCTGCAGCCATAATAAGGTTGTAACACGAATGGGTGGACTCGACCGGGAAAGAACCACCCTCTCACGGAATACCACCGCAAAACAGCTTAAAGCTGTTGTTTTTCGCGCTGTTTATGCTAATGGTGAGTGTAGTGAACCGAAGACCCCTTTTACGAGAATCGATGCATTCCATTTTAGTCATCAGGATATGACAACGCATCTGCATATTGATTCTACAGTGAGGATAGATGTAAATGTCCATGGGACAGGGCTTCCATTTACCAACAGGTGGACTGTGTGTGATTTTTTCAATTTTATTTTATATAAACAAAGTTAAAAAATCATATTTTGCAGGGTTATGGCCTTTATCGCTTCAGTACTACATATCAGCAGTAAAACTCTCGATAAATGACCCAGCGTTGACGCCAAACGCTTTGCTGCCTCTACGCTCGGCTTGCTTATTACTGCGTAGTGTTGGGCAACAGGCTCGCATACTGCAGCTAGTCAATAGGTATTTTACTCCTTTTAACCTTGATCTGTGAAATTATTAACCACCAACCCACGCGCAGTTTCGCCGATACCATTATGACGTCACGCGGCGACACCGCCGCCCCGGCTCAAGTGTAAAGGCTGATCATCGGCAAGTATATTTTAGAAGATATTTAAGAATTTTCATTAATTAGATTTTACTAGAATTATGATTTGTACCTAAAATAACATTATTGAAAATGGATGTCATACTCACAATGACAGACACAGATGACACTAACAATGGTGCCTTTATAAAAAGTAAACTTAAATGTTCGACGCGTTGCCCCAATGCTGTTTTTAATTTCTCATTAATGTAGGCTATTAGGTAATAAACTCGCGGATAATAGAAACATCGTGTTCTCTTATCTGCGAGTTTATCACGTGATTTTTAAGTTTATCAGCAATAAAATTGCAATCTACAATGTCATTGGTGTCAGTGGGTTCGAACTAGCTGCTCGCGTAATGTAAAAGTTACAACGAAATCTTACCCCTGACCTACCACACCTCTTCTCTCCTTGTACGGCTGGTAGCTTTATTAAAAATGCAAATTAAAATTCCTTAATAAATCCTTAACACTCGGGCTTGTCACAAATCGGCTCCATTAAGTTAATCTTGCGGAACTTATACTATAACTCAATTAATACTGCCGACTAGACCTGCAACCTAATTATTCTGACATTTAATTTCGCTCCGCGTTAACGTGTCACGCAAACGGGTATAATAATTTAAACTATTTAGAAATTCCTTTTAAAATATTCCTTTTAATATATGTGAGACTATTGCGTTGGGAAATCTATAATGTTCTATACTACAGTACTACGTTGTATTGTGGCGGCGGAAGAAGCTCTGTCATTCCATTTCGTCTCATGGGTGTGAGAAATGACCACTTTGAGAATTGTCCTAAAAGTCTCGTGGCCTTCGATATATCGCAGTATAACCATGTTTTACATCCTTCGTGATGTAGGCCGGCGACAAGGAGTAGAGTGTAAGACAATCCGATAACGTCAATCCACCTGCCAAGAGTGGCGACAATGCCAAATATTAAGCGCTCCTCTAAGGCAATCTAAGAGAAGGCTTACGTTTATATGAAGTATGAAGGTTGGTGTCGAGTTTATTAATTGTTTGGACTGTAATAAATGCATTATGGGACGAACACTTAAACAAGTTTTACGATTCAGTTTCATTGGTCCAAGGTTCGTTGTTACCTCTGTTTCTATATTACCTACATGTTAATACTCGATTACGCAATTTTTTTATTAAATTATTTCTGTATTACATTTTTAACTATTTTTGGAATGAATACTGGTTTACACCTGTTTACGACCTGTATAAACCTGTATGATTTTTAATTATCTTGAGTATCGCTGATGTGAAGCTCCGACGCTCCGGGAAGTCTGCCGTATGTCAACATGTTTAAGTTCGTACCGACCATTACAATAGATTTGATAGATCACGAACACCGATTCCTGCCAAGAATGATTAACGAGAAAAATTACTCAATAAGTAAGGAGAGGTCTGGCAATACTTTATAACCGACAAAAACGTCTGGGATTATTTTTTTAATTATATAAACACTTAATTAAAAGATAAAAAAATCAAGTTGCCAAAAAGACATTTTTTTAAATATTTTGTTTGCAAATGTTATATGCTGCGCAGTAACGAAATAACCGCAAACGCTCTGCCGGACTCACGGGACTGGATTCGCCGATTGACGAAATTATATTTTTTCACAATTACAACTTGCCAAAAGAACTTCCGAAAATTCGTCGCCAGGTCTCAGACTATTTAGACATACATAAAATGAAACTACTCACTTATCAGAAATGATCTACAAAATACATTGACAAAATTAGCTCATAATAAAGACAACATTTTTTAGTCATATTAAACAAAATCAGTGTTAGTTTGTCTAGATTGTCGAAAACAACGTACGTTGTTTACAAAACAAATAAGTCTTACCTCCCGCTCGCTTCGAAGATTTTACGAAGAATTGAGCGAAATTTAGTGCGCAATGAATTAAAACCGTAGTGCCGGTCTAGTAAGTAGTATACATAGAAGTTGGATGACAATATCAATTTTACATGTCTTCAAGATGGCAGACTGTGCGAGGAGACGAAAACCGCGGCGCGTCGCTGGGCGGTCACTCGCACATGGCGCCTACGCAGCGAGCTGGCCGATCGCGCAGCTAAATACGCTCGCGCTCCTTTGGTAAGTTATGTGTGAAATATGTTTGTAGCTACGAATTTTTTTTTTTATAGAATAAGGGTGTCAAACGCACAAGTCCACCTGATGGTAGGTCATAGACATCTAAATCTATTCTGACGCATCTGCGTTTCGATTCTCTATATAAAGAATCAAAATGCAGATGCATCACATCTGAGGACTAAGATGCACTTGCAGTAAAAAGAATTTCCGGTTGCCTACAATCACCATAAGAAACATAGCAGTATTAAGATGCGATTTCACGCTGGTATTCTGTGAGATTTGCCTTCGCCGGTTGACTAACCCATTCGTGTTGCAAATCTAATATATTTTTTTTATAGGATTCGGATCTATAACAGAGAGCAGAATCGCAGTTGCGAAGGTCTGGTACTACAAACGTCAGTCCGTCTGCCAAGCGTGATCAATAAGACAAATTATCTCTGTAACTGGAGAAGTCCATATCCAGCATTAAACTATTACGGGCTGATGAAGAAGAAGATGATGAAAATAAAGCGTAAGATTATTATAATAATATCGTGACATACATACGAGTATATTAAGAAAGTAATCATTAACGGCGAATAGTGATTAGCAGCGCCAGCTACCACCCCACCGGCACTGTTTTGATCTACCTTTAGTTCTAGTAAAAGAATCATATGAGTTAAACTTTTTATAATATATCGCTACCAAAAGCGTTAAAATACTGTTTTCCCATGATCTATCGAATGAAAGGGAAATTGTAACGTCAAGTTCTTTGTACGTCTATGATGTCTCTACTTTAAAAAAGAAGAATATTGAATTATTTTTAAAAGTAGTCATTTATTACGTTTGTGTTTATAACAGTAATAATAAGCAATAAAGAAATCTTTTGTTCTAGGTAACGTCAACTTGCCTCCACCATAGTAAGTTTGAAGTATCGTCAGATGTCTACAAAATAAATAACGCGGTAAAAGAGAACACTAGAACGTTCTTATACAAATATGACATTCAAAGCGTTTCAAAACAAAATGCTATGAACGATGTAGAGAAAGCGTCTACAGAGAACAGCTGCCAAAAAAACATATTGCATAGTGATAAGGAGGGCGTTTCTCTTTCGGCACAATATAAGCCGATTCATAATAAATCAGAAACGGGTCACAAGCACAAGAGCTGTCGTCTTCATAAAAAGAAGAAAATAAAAGAACCGGAGTCTTTCGTTCCTTTTGTGTCTGACCATTTAATAAAGACTTATTAGTTAGTGTCTAAGGGTAAATTATAACGAGTCAAATGTTCAGTTCCATTCAATTTAGTTTAATTAAGCAAGATTTTTTGTATTAAATTAAAAATAATTATAATATTATAAAAATTGTATTAAATTATAGCAATGAAATATTTTGAAAAATAATACTCTTTCATAATAAGCCGTTCTTCAAATGTTGAAATAAATGTTTTAACTGATGATTTTGAACTTAGAAGCAGTTTTAAAGCATGACAGTCATTAATATTTGTTTTTTTTTTAAATGAAACTGGCTGCTCATTAGTGCTTGTGAAATACTGAAATTAAATATTATTAAAATTGCATAAGTTTTGTGACGATTTAAGATTTCCAAATAATTATAATATCAAATTTTGACAATTCAAAAATAGGTTTTGGAGAAGACCGAATAGACTTCTCAAATTTTATGTAAATAAAACTTTTTCAAAGGCACTGGATAGGTAAATTTCGGTTTTATAAATACAGCCAAGTCGTACTTACTTGTAGATACATGTTGTTTGTTTAAATAAATAAAATATATATATTTTTAAAAATTGAATATATTTAAAATATTATATTATATTCGGCTCCTGATATGTTTTCAGTTTCTTTTCTTACTATTTTATTGTAACAGTAGTGATATTAATTAGTGATGCTGATATTCGATTATAAAAATAATCGAATATGCGTATTTTATGCGCTGCTACACCGCTCATCTGATTGCGGTTAAATTTTGTGAGCATATTGCTTGCACTTCCGCGAAGATATAGTGCAATTAATTTACAGTAGGTGGCGCGTGTATCGCACTAACAAATTAATTTAAAAGTTATATATCCTTCAATTTCTATGAATTTATTATCATTTCTATTTAAGCAATATAAATCTTCCAAATTTAATATATTTTCACAATTATTTATTCTGCGGCAGCAAGGCGTCGGATAGCGGAAAATAGAAATATTTCACGTTAAATGATTTATTTAATTAGAAAAATTTTACCACAATTTCGGCATAAAATATAAGATGAAAGTTTAATGCAGTAATTCTTATTTTTATTAGGTAAATTTTAGTGTTATAAATCAAAATAATAAGGTACGTTGGGGTAAGATCGGTGATGGGGCAAGACCGTAGGATTCAAATTCCCGGCGAATTATGCTATATTTTGAAAAGCTAACAATATGCTACACGACGCCATTTCATCCTGCCCCGACCCTCAGTTCGCGCCAGTCACTCCGGCAAGTGGGACCTGTGCTGTGTGGCATTTTATAAAACAATGTAATTTTTGTATTATTTTTGTCCATCCGATCTTTCCCTATCACTTTTATTTACGATTTTTAGCGAGAATATGGCTTCTTTTGTTATTATTTTGTGTGAATACTAAGTTTTATGAAGTTATAGCTAGATTAAGCTGGTCCATGCAGGGGTAAGATCGCTGTAGGCCGAGATCCGATGTTTCCCCTCGTGAGTGAAGATCGGATGAATATTATCCGATCTTTGCCTGTTACAAATATGGCAGTGGTTGTTAAACTTTCATTGGTCGTGTATATTTTTTCGTTGATTACCCAAGTGACTATGGGACTCAGTCTCGTTAGCAAGTCTGTATATTTAAAAGTAATAAAACAATACGATAGTTTTATTATTTTAAGTACACATTAAAATACATTTTTTTTATAGGATAAGGGTGACAAAGGAGCTGATGTTAAGTGATTTCTGCGGCCCATAGACATCTATATCTATTCTCTATTACAAATCAAAATGTAATTTATAATAATTATTTAAAAAATAATTTATAATAATAAATGCCACTTTGTTAAAATATTTATATCTTCCTTAACTCCTGCATTATCCCAGGGCATTTCGCCAGTCCTTACTGTTATTTTTCTTCCCATATAAAATCAAATGCATCCGATCTTTCTCTTATATTGAGTAATTCCATCTTATGTCATAACAAAGTTTGAGAAACATAAAATTACAATTTCTTTATATCAGGGATAAGATCGGATGGCAAGAAACAAAAAAAGAGAAAATCGTTTGGAACATTTATGTTTCTAGTAATTTATAGATCATATTGAAATATGTTTTTGAGCGTTAAATATAGGACAAATCTCTTTTATAAACTTTTTTCTCTAAGCAGTAGAAGTGGTTTTAAATTTAAGTCCGGTCTTACCCCTTAATGGACAATTTTTCATTATGCATATAAAAAAGTATGTCTAGTTTTCGCACACCTTTAAAGCAGAAACCGTTGATTTTACACAAGCAAAAGATTCTCAGAGCTAAACTACGTTTAACGATTAACGGTTTGCTCCATGTTCCATAAATCTGACGTATACGAATGTCGAGAAATTAAAGTTTTTGGCAGACTCTTCCAACTATTCGAAAATCCGTCCGGTATTACCCCAACGTACCTTATATTTTTTCGCTTAAAACTGCTTTGTATTAGCGCTATGTACGTTATTATGTAGGTAAAGTCATTTTATCGAACAAACATTAAATGACTCTGAAGGTGATACTTAAAATAGACGCTAGATGTCCTGAAGTTATGAACTGATTGATTTATGACTGGATTAATATGAATTATATTTATTAATGGTTATAATATAATGGTGGTAAAAAAGGAAAGGAATCCGTTGTAAACTGCCACCTCATGCGGTACCTTGAGGATCACCAGCTGATTAGTGACCGCCAGTACGGTTTTCGTCGGGGTCGATCAGCTGGTGATCTTCTGGTCTACTTAACTCATAGATGGGCGTTGGCAGTACAGTCCAAGGGGGAGGCATTGGCCGTTAGTTTGGACATTGTGAAGGCCATCGATCGGGTTTGGTACAAAGCGCTTCTTTCGAAGCTCCCTTCCTATGGGCTTCCCGAGAAATTATGCAATTGGATCACTAGCTTTCTTGCAGATCGGAGCATCAAGGTCGTTGTAGACGGTGCTTGCTCCGACTACAAGCCTATTAACGCTGGTGTTCCACAAGGCTGCGAGCTATCACCAACGCTGTTTCTTCTGCATATCAATGATATGTTGCAAGCCGGTAGCATTCATTGCTATGCGGATGACAGCACTGGTGATGCTCTCTACACCGGCCGTGCCAATATTTCTCGGGAAAACGTCACCGAGTACCGGAACAAACTTGTGTCTGATGTCGAGTCTTTGCTGGACAAAGTCTCGGATTGCAGGCGACTAAATCTAGTCCAGTTTAATCCTCAGAAGACACAAGTTTGCGCGTTTACCGCTAAAAAGAACCCCTTTGTCGTATCTCCTCAGTTTCAAGGTACTCCCCTTGTTGCCTCAGCCAGTATCGGAATCCTTGGCATCGACATATCGAGTAGCGTGCAGTTTCGTGGTCACTTGGAAGAAAAGGCCAAATTGGCCTCTAAAAAGCTTGGCGTGCTCAGCAGAGCGGGACAGTATTTCATGCCGGCTCAACGCCTGCAACTTTACAAGGCGTAGGTTCGGCCTCACATGGAATACTGATCCCATCTCTGGGCTGGGGCTCCCCAGTGCCAGCTTCTTCCACTTGACCGCATCCAGCGCAGAGCGGCTCGAATCGTCGACGACCGAGTCCTTTCCGATCGGCTCGACTCATTGGCACTACGAAGAGATGTTGTATCTCTTAGCATTTTCTTTCGCATTTACCATGGGGAGTGCTCTGAGGAATTGTTCGGATTAATCCCAGCCGCCAAATTTCACGAACGCACATCGCGGTAGAACTCCCGATACCATCCACACCATCTGGATGATTGGCGGTCCACCACTGTGCGATTTAGAAGATGTTTTCTTCCTCGCACAACTTCCTTGTGGAATAGTTTACCACCAGCGATTTTTCCGGACCGATACGACTTAGGGACCTTCAAGAAAAGAGCCTACTCCTTTTTAAAAGGCCGGCAACGCATCTGCAATTCCCCTGGTGTTGCGGTTGTTCATGGGCGGCGGTAGTCACTTACCATCAGGTGAGCCGCATGCTCGTTTGCCCCCTCTCCTATAAAAAAAAGTATAATTTTATTTATTAAATCAATTTGGTAACTTTTATATTGTTAATTTATTTTTAAGAGTTAAAATTTATATTAACTATCTCTAAAGCACCGCACAAAGAGGAGACCAAGATAATTGGAAACACTGTATGCAAAGCAATGCCATTAACATTTCTGATATACCCTTTCATCACTACTGGTAAGGCGAAAATGCTTGTGTTAGAAGTTTTTCACGGAAGTAGTCGAACGGAGGATCGAACGAATCGAACGAAATTGGCAAGAGATAGTTCCACACCGAATAATTTACACAATTTCATGTTATTTTAGTATTATATGATTATTAGTCATATTATTAGTAGATTAAAATTGTTATCTGTTATAATTTGTTAATATGTGTTTTACGTCTTTTAATTGAAATTGACATTGATTGAAATTGTTATCCGGTAAAATTTGTTAATTTGTTTAAAAAATATTTATTGTTTTCTTTTGTAATTGAGAGCTTGTAAGTGAGCCTATGTGAATAAAAAAGTACATTAAAATAAAAATAATGAAAAAGAACCCACAACCTTTTGAGTTCCGGTCCGCACCCTGCCATAAGGCTACTGTCACTTACTATATTGTATTTTATCTCATTCTCTTGCATGATAAGTCCTATAGATGTATATGCTTGTCTATTTTTAGTGTCGCTTTTCGTTTCATCGAGTTTCAAATCATAACGATTCTAAAGAAGTTTTCACTTAAAAAAAGAATAAAGATGTAGATCTTACAGATTTCACAAATTATTTATAAATAACAATATAATAATAATATAATAATTAATCGATTATCAAAATCACTCTTAAAAATATGCAAAACTTATTAATGAGCAGCGGGTAAAAAATATGTAACATAATATTTAAGGCACACAATGCTTTAGATGTATTCAATGTTTATATGTATGATATTAAATGAATAATATAATTTATCTTTTTCTTATTTAAAACCCAAACATGATTAGTCTGATGATCCGGGGTGACTTTTAGCCGACTTCAAAA